TATGTGCTTGACACAATGGATGTCTGTATGGATTGTGATAAGAATTGTAAGAGCCCCCGATAAAATGATTGAAAAAAAGTAATATGTAGTAAAGGGGAGAAAACATGGCACTTCTGTCTTTGTTGGAAGACGTAACTGTAACATGCTTATGTTAGAATAGCTAGAGGCCATTGCACATTATACTGTGTAAACTTACAAAAACATATGCTTCCCTTATTCATTGATATTCCCTGAACCATCTCAGCTGATAAAAGGTCGAAAGCACAGGTGTTGCAGGCAAGGGAGTCAATGAGCCAGGGCACTTTGCAATGGAAAAGTGTTTCTAACTCCGAGCAACAAGCTATGAAAATATTCTTTTGCAGGTTACATTTCTTCACACTCATCTTGTATTCGAGTCTATGTTAGTACTTTAAGTTACTGGCACAGCTCTATCACACATTTTTTAAAATTCAAAGTTACATGGCAGACACTATGAATGACTCAATATTTTGTATTGTCATGAGTGCCAATCTTTCTTACTGACCTTTCTATGTTCCTGTAGGCTTAATGCTGAAGAACACTTTTTATTGCACACTGAACATATAAGCTTCTTCTTAGAGTCTCCTAAAACAGAAACACAATATCATCATCATTGAAGGATATTGAGAGGATCATTAAAAATACTGATTCTAAACAGTCAGTGGAAGAGCACTGGTGGCTTAGTGGTTATCCGTTGGGCTGCTAACCACAGGTCAGCAGTTCTAAACCATTGGCCACTCCATGGAAGCTAGATGAGGCTTTCTACTCCCGTAAAGTTGCAGTCTCAGAAACCCACAGGGGCAGTAATACTCTGTCCTGATAGCAGCATGTTTGTTGTTGGTATAAGGTATGTGGAGCCCTGGTGGTAAAGTGGCTTACGAATTGGGCTGCTAACCACAAGATCAGCCGTTGGAAACCACTAGATCTTCGGAGGGAGAGACATGAGGTTTTCTCCTCCCATAAACAGTGACAGGCTCAGAACCCACAGAAGCAGTTGTATTGTCCTGTCTGGTCGCACAAAGTCGGAATCAGTCCCATAGCAGTGACTTTGGTTTTATTTGGTTTTAGTTTTTCATACAATATGTAATTTCTAACTAGTTATCTTCATGATTTAGAATTATAAAATGTTCAGTTTTCTAGATACACCGATTATAGTAAGATAAAGAAGGTGTATTTAAACCGCTTTCATTATTGAAGTAATCTCTAGCTTTCTACATGTACAAAATGGTACTTTTAACTTTTCCTATCCTAAATCCCCACAAAATATTCTACTCAAAGTTAACATGAACTAAATGAATTTATTTTTTTTAATTGGACTGATTTATGTCATGTCAATTTCTTAATTTTTTAGCAGAATAATTTTATCTGCTCATATTGTTAAGGGAGTTTGTGGTGTGTTCTTCTAAGCACTAACCTCTTATAAGTCTCTAAGGATATGTGTTATCACATTAATGTTAAAAGAAATAGAATAAAGTAATATCAAGTACAATAATTAAAGTGAGAGTTCATATTATCATAAAACTTGGAACAAAATGCAGCACAGTCTTCTTACATGGTGATTACATTTATTATAACTCACTTCATATATCAAATTTCACAGTGGTTATGGAAATGAAGGCTCAACAAAACAATTTTCAAAGTTAATATAATTATAATTATAACATCATCTGAACTCCTATTTCTATCAGAAATGACCATAACATTTTTTCATCTTTTGATGCATCTTCTGAATCTGGCTTGAGTTCATGGTCATTTCCCATCAGTATATTACTTCAACGGTTTTTTTTTTTAATTATCTTTAGCAACATTTTACTTGCATTTGATACTATGGGCAAAATATTGGACACACAAGACATCAAAAGAAGCTGTAAGGAATACAGAAATCAATATACAAAGGAATTCACTGGCCATCAACCATTTTAGGATACAGCACATAATCAGGAACCCAAACTATTGAACAAAGAAATACAAGCGTCACTGAAGGCTCTGGAGAAAAGCCATGCCCCAGGGATTGACAGAATACTAGTCAGGATCCGTCAACACACAGATAGAGTTAGGGAAGAGTTCCCTTGTCTATTCCAAGCAATCAGGAAGATGGATACCTGGCCAAATGCCTGGAGGAGCTGCACATCTGTACCCACTGGGAAGAAAGGTGATTTCATAGAATTCAGAAATTACCAAACTCTATCATTAACTGAAGATATTTTTTTAAGTGGTTGCAGCAGTACACTGACAGGAAAGTACCACGAATTCAAGCTAGATTCAGAAGAGGACACAGAATGGGGAGAATCATTAATGATGATGGATCCTAAATAAAAGCAAAGAATGCAAGAAAGATGGTTTACTCGTTTCTTTCTTTCTTTCTTTTTGACAATGTAAAGGCATAATAAGGGATCATAATCAATGACAGACAAAATTTCAAAGGGAATTCCAGAACACATTTTGTGGAAACCGAATAGAGACCAGAGGTGAGTTAATTGAGCAGAACGAGGTGATACTGGTGGTTTACAATCGAGAGGTGTGCATCGGGGTGTAAATAATCTGAGAAGCTGGAATCTATGACAAAGAATACGACATCAGCACAGGAAGGAGACGCATCAGCCGTCTGCAACATTCAGAGGACACACTTGCTTCCTGAAAGGGAAGAAGACTCAACGAACTTACAGATGGACATCAAAGACTACACCGTCTTCCATAGGGATTGTGCTTCCACACGAAGAGAACAAAAATCTTCATAAATGAACCAATAAGCATTCTAGTGGTAAACACAAAATATGGTGAAGTTGTCACTAAATCTATTTAACTTGGACCCCAAATCAACACCACAGAAGCAGAGGTCAATAAATTAAATGAAGTATTGTAGCAAGTAATTCTGTTGCAAAAAGCATCATAAAGTGAAAAGTCAACAATGTCATTTTGAAAAACAAGAGGCACTTGACCCAAGTCATGATCCTTTAACTGCTTGAAGAACAACTGCTGTTTTTGAATTAGTGTTGGCAAAGTTTTCAATGTGCCCTGAACTGCCAGAAGAATGAGCAAATCTGTCTTAAAGAAGAATCGAACACCATGACTTTCTTTACCTCATACTTTGGACACAAGTAGACTCAGTCCCCAGAGAAGGTTACCTAGAGGGGCAGTGAACAACAGGAAGATCCTCAACAAGCTGGATCGACACAATGGCTGCAACAATGAACTCAAACGTAGGAATGATTGCGACATTGGTGCAGGACTGGGTAGTGTTGTTTATGGTGGGGAGGAGGGGGCGGGGAATCACTCTGAGTCAGAAGTAACTTGAGAGCACCCAACAACAGGCAGAAGAGATGCGCATCCGTGGCACAATGGCTAAGCGTTCAGATGAGAACCAATAGTTTGGCAGTTGGAATCCTTGAAGCTCCAACAAACCGGCTTCCTCAAGGCTTCTCCTATCTTTATCCGAGACTAGGAGGTAATCCGAGGCCCTTTGCGAAGAAACACAATGAAAGCATAGACATCTAGCCCTCAATGACTCTCATTATTCCCCTTTTTTAACTCTAGGAAGAAATCTACTATCTGACTATTTTGAACATTCATGAGGTGCTTCTGGTATTAACAAACACTGACATACAGGATGTAATGGCTAAAGTTATGTATCAGCTTGGCT